AAGAAAGAAAAAAATATGTATATTATGGGCTTCAGAGGGCCTCAGCTCTGAATAAAACTTTAAAAAAAAGAAGAAAAAAGTGGGGTTTGGGGGCCCTCTTAAGTTATAAATAATAATTGAGTTAGAATTTAAAAAAAAAAAAAAAACAATTAATGCAATGAGATTTTAGACTTTTGGGGGCCCCATTAGAACTCGGTCAAATTGCAGTTCTAAGTCCAAGATGGATGAATACTCCGCATTGAATCGTACTTACCTAGTTCCGTTAATAGAAGACACAAACAAGCAGAGAGAAACAGGAAAACTTAAGCAGATATCGTCAAGAACAATAGGAATAACAGGACCATAAATACCAAAAAGAAGAAGGAACATATAGCAATTATAAGACCAATGGCAAATGATGTGGGATCGGACAAAACAAAAACAGATATAACAAATCGAATTGATCCTGCCAAGTTGAAAATTGCAGTGAAAAGGGTTGGGAAGGTTAGAAATGGAGGAATTATAATAGAAACAGAGACAGAAAAAGAACTTGAAATATTTAGAAACGAAATGGAAAAAACTGGAGTAAACGAAGAATATACTTTCAAGATTAAACGAAGAATATACTGGAAAGGTAAGGCAGCGCCGCTGCTCAGAAACTACAGACTGTCGTCATTGACTCGTAGTGATAACGGAAGGTGACGTCGGCTGTCATCACAACAGCAAAGTTGCGACAAATTCAGCTATGGATTGTTTTTCTATTTTATATGTAGATAAGCAATGTTGGGACACTACAATATGAGAGATATTTCCATATCGTGATCTGCTGTGCCAACTTCAATCGCCAAAGTGGCAAATAAATTTTAAACTTGCAATTTAAAAATAAAAAAACAGGTAGATGTTTGCAAGGGAGTGGCTGCGAGTTATTCATTTCGAGTCGATCTATTTTTGAGATGCTTTTTTTTAAGCTTCTCACGGGCTGCTGCTTGAAAGTTGCCAAGACTTGGCGATTATTTTGCCACAGATCACAATACGGAAATCTCCCCACAATAAGTTTCCTTAACATGAGCATATGCGAGAAACATTGAACAAATTCGCCATATTTCAAGTATTTCAGATATTTTTCTGGTTCAAAAAGAGCAAACAAATTGTTTAAGTGCACAGAACATTAATAAATAACATAAAGAACAGAACATAAAGAACACAGAACAATAGAAGTAAACAATAGGCGGTCTTTTTTCACATCATCAGAAACATTGACGACTACGAAATTATCATTTCTTTCCATATAACAGAAAAGTGTTTCTTTATCAATAACATAATTTTAAAAAGGAATGATTCTGAAGTAATCGGAAGATTTTTTGTGATTTATGTTCTTCACTTAACAATTTTGGGACTGTATATTGGCGAAAAAAGCAAATAATGTTTCGAAATGTGTTGCATCTATTATGGCGATACTAGAAATGGCCCTAATTCATACACAGTAATAAATTCAATTATTTTTTTTTAGTACCGCGATATGAAAAAAGAAATGCTGATTTTTCAATAAATGTAAATTGCGTTTCGAAAATTATTCTTTACTTTAATAAGAAGGTACATATCTTTTTTCCTGTTCATTTACAAATATTTTTCTATGGGTTTTAGATGTTCCTTTGGTAAGAAAAAGAGATACTACTTTGTTTTCGCTTGCATAAAAAAGAATATCAAAAATTTTCCTTTTTAAATTTAATAAGCCACAATAAAGAAGGAACGTTATAATGCTAAACGCTACATAACAGACGTCTCCTGAATGATTGTTCATATGAATGGTGTTTTCAATATAATTGTAAACAACAATAATATCGAACTCTTTACCTGCTCTACTTCCGATTAGAAAGTGTACAACTGCTTACTACAGCTTATTCTACGAGGTGATATTTTCAAACAGATAGTTTCGTTTTTAATAAAGGAAATAAACAATATAATTTCTGAACTCAGATCTGTTGTATTTCATAAGATATTAATAATATTAAGTAATTCTGGTGAATTTAAAGTAAAAATTTGTTTTGCTTATTTATACATGTGTCGCTAAATTGGGGGCGTGATTGCTAGATTTGTAGTAGTCCCGATTTGGCTTCCTTTTACTATTACTGTTTATTCTTATTGCAAGCCATGCATCATCATATGTTAGATTTATCATATTGTTCGAGTAGCGAGAATAGGACCATTTTACAAATTATCTTTTAGGTTTAAGTTTTCAAGTTGGTATACTGTTGACTAGGCAGGAAGTGCTTTATGACAATTCTTTTCTTCAAATGGCGATTCTGGGGTGCAGCGTAGACCTACCTCCTCGTGGTGTGCCCTGGGCAACGTATTTCTACGGCTAACTGGTCTACAATTTTGGCATGCTTTACGGGACATGACTGCCTGAGTGAGCATCTCCATACAATTGGTATTTTTGACTCCCCTCTTTGTTCATCATGCGATCTGGGAGAACCTCTGAATAAAGCTCGTTTGTGTCGATGCGCTCTGCCGACTGCATTGGAGAGCTTAGAGAGACTTCAATAACTTCTGTCAATATTTTTAGTTTGCTTGCTCATATTTTGCATTGGCTTGTCTTTTTAGAAATGTAATTTGCCTTGCTATTGGAAATAATAAAAAAATTACGATCCTTACGTCTTCAAATGACAATTCTTATAGAGATTATTTTTTAAACCCAAATAATAAACCAGGTAGCAAATATACAAGATATACAACTCAAGATAGAGCCCCTGAATTAGACAGGCTGACTTATAATTTATTTTGGAGCAAAAGCTTTTCTGCCAATAATGAAGAGCTACAAGAGTTGGCGACTTATCGCTAAAAACGACGTTAACCTCAACTATAGGATAATCAGTAAAGAAAAGCGTGCAACGATTGACATTGTTTTTCGGAAACTTTTTTTCTAATGCTTATAAAAATTCACTGCAAATTTTATGACCGATTTAAAGTTTTAAATTAAAATCTGTGCATGCCAATTACATAATTTCTTTTTTTTTTTATACATGATTTCAAAGTAAATTTCGTACGAAATTTTATAATTCAATTAGATCTGGGTTTTTTAAATTTCTTTCCAGATTTTTTTTTTTGTAACAAAATTAAAATGGAAGAAAAACATGTTTTGACCTGAAATATTTTTAAGCATGTTTTTAAAATCAAAATAATTTCTCATGCAATATTCTAAATGTTAATGTCTACAACCATGAGAAGTAATAAATTTTGTTTTGAAATCAAGAATTGATTTAAAATTAGTGTTTTTAATTGAGACATTGAATTTTCCTTAAAACATAAAAGGACAAGACGAATTAAGATTTTTAGCCATCATTATTATATAAATGGAATTAATAGAATAAATAGAAACTAGAGTTTTATGAGAAGGATAAGAAACGGCGCATTATAAATTATTAAATGATTTATTTAAATAAAGATCTTCTTTCAAATCACACTTTCATAACATTTATTTAAATAAGTAATACATAAATAAGGAATACAATTTTAAAAAAATTAATCTATATGGTATTCATTGCTAGATAGAAATAGTTTTTACACACATTTTTGGTCCTTTAATAATAAAAACTAAGCAAATGGAGAAGAATTAGTAAATTTATACTTATATTAGATTCAAGCTTTTCTAAATCTGATTCAGGTTTTGGACAGCCTATTTCTTTTAGTCTTTTTTGAGGAATTTTTTCGGAATTTTGAACATTGAAACTTGTTAGAATAGCATCAGGTCTTAATTTATTGTGACCATCTTTTCTACTATATAGTTAGTTAAAATTCTTCAAAATGAACCTGCAAAAATAGTTAGAATACGTTTTTTTTAATTTTCTTACTTAAATTAAATCACATTAAAAAAATTTAGAGTTCGCAACTTTTAAACATACTGCTGTGAAATTTTCTAACAGAGAAACTAATTTTTTCAGCAATTTAACGCAAGAATTTCAAAGAAAAAAAAATATTGGTAGATCCAAAAATAGATGAAAGGTAGTATATTAAATAGATTTCTTATGATAAATGTTAAAAAAATTTTGAATTTTAGGCGATATATTACCTTAACTAACTAAAAAACAAATTTAAATTTGCCAAGATTTAGAAAGTAACTACTTGATCTTAGTGAAATAAAAAGGAATGCAATAAAACACAGGTAAATATTTGTTTAAACAAAAACAAATACTTAAAAGTGAATGCAAAACTTGGCGATTCTGGAATAAGTTTGGCGAATACTTATTCAGCTAATCTCTCGCCTTTATTTATTAGTTTTATTGCACATAAGCACTTAAAATTGTTAAATAAATCAATAAATATTGTTTAAAAGTCATATTTTAAATAAATATATACTTAAAAAATGCAATTTTCAATGAATATTCCTATATTTAGTACATAGTTAAAACTGTACAATTCAAGTAACCCTGCAAGTTATCCACTTAGTTGTTTTTTAAAAAAATTGGTCCTCGTTATCGTAGTCTGGTATGGGTCTTCGTTAAACTTTTCTACCGTAAAGTGCTCGCCTTCACGTGCAGGTCGTCGGGCTACTGTAGCGGGGGTGCCATCCCCTCTACAGAGGACCAAAATTGTGATGGCATGTCTTCGGATCATCCTCAGGGATGTTTCCCATACCGTCGCCAATAGCCCATTGAGCAGCTCTAGTGCGACGTAAATCAACTACAGAAATAGACGAAAACAAGCATTTAAAAACAACAACTTGACTTAACTTTAAAAACTAACAACTTAATATCGTTTATATACTACATGTATAAGTAAATAAATCTAATAAATTATAAATAAATGAGTATTTACCTCACATAAGCGAGCTCCACTTCCAGATTACCAGTTGTATCTTCTGCAATTTATTATCCATTTCTTCTTTCTTTTCATATTTGAAGGAAATTTGAACATACTTTTAACTCAAAAGACTTTTTTTGGAACTGTTTGTGCAATTTACTGCCGCATAACCACCTTTATCAATAATTTTAGGTAACCAAATAGTCTTCAAACTCGCACGCTAATATTAACATTACGGTAACTTGCGAAATTCTCCATAGTTGATAATTCAGCTCTCATAGTATAGGAGCATTAACTCAAGAGAGTTTCAAAACTCAGTGATCACGTAATGAGCTAAATGGCTTTAAATACGCCGGAAACAGTAACCCGGAAGTATAGGCGGTAATGAGCTTGCAGTGCATCCTATAGTGTAGGAACACCATCCATAGAAATCTCAGCTATTCGTCTCATACAGCAACGCCCCCTATAGTCCGTTGTGATTGTGAATAATTTAAGTGTGTAGAAATAGGCAGCTAAACACTGGCCACTGGGTGCCATTTGAATCTTGAACAAGAATTATAAAAAGAGTATTTGTAAAAAATATTTATTCAGTTTATTTGCATGAACATTATCTTATCTTCTAATGTCATTATTTTCATCGTACTAAAAGAGAGCCTAATTAAAAATTGTGTGAAGAAAAAAAAAGCAATTAAAATAAAGAAAAAATCTTCGTTATAAAGCAATAGTGAGTACTCATGTTGTGTATGATTCAGTTGGTACATTAAAAAATTGAACATACGAATTTTTTCGGTATTACTTTACAATAAGATATCTCTCTTGTTTTGTCAATTTTTTGTTTTCTCGAAGAAAATACGGAAAATGACTTAAAAGCGACATTTTCGGAAATGTTTTCTGATCATGATCTACGCCAAAATCCCGAGAAACTAAAAATAACTTCACTGAAAGGTGCCTATTGAAAGGGTCCAATAATTGGTAGTCTCCCCAGGGCAAGCAACTATATGATTTTTTTTTTTTAATAAAAGAAAAGGAAAGATTTCAACTATACAATAAAAGTCCTTGCCTCTCAATGAAGTGACTTTAGTTCAAATCCCAATGATGACTGGTTGATACGAATTCCGACAATAATGACGTAAAATATTCTCAGTGATAGACGGATCATGGGTTAGAGCCTTTGGCGTAAAACTAACCATAGGAGGTTTTCCTCTCTATACGCAAATGCTGGTTAGTTCTACCAAAAAGTCCACGACAAAAGCACATTTCTCGCAATACCTGATCCAGAAATTCTGAAGTTTTCTTGATTAATTTCAAAATTACAAGGCTATACATCTGAACATTGGTAGTTGTAAACTCAAAATTAGGTTGACTGTTTAGCAATGGTTATGAATTAAAATATACTATGCAGTATGATCTCTTAAAAAGTTTTTGTGTCAGAAACTGGTTTTTGACATGACACAATAAAAACCAGTCGAAAACTTTCATTAACTGCTAAAAACCTGGGACAAGCTTATTTTTTTTTTGTCATTGGGGACATTTTATTAGATAGTAAATCATACACAATACAGTAGAGCGCAAATTATACGAGCTGCTCAGGACCGAACGTGGTTCGGATAATGAAAATTTCGGATAGTTGTTTAAAATCTAGTTTAAAGAATTATTATTTATGCACTAACTTCCCTTCTGACTTTTTACGGCTTAGGACTGGCAGTACTATCTAAAATAGCTCGAGCGTGTTAAAAAAAAATTTTTATTTATTTTTTTAAACGCTTTTTTTTTTCATTTTGAATTTCTTTATCATATTTCAGCTTTTTATAATTTTTTTTGACAATTACTGATTTTACCACATTTTTTCTTTATTTTGCATTGCAAAAGAAATCCAGCGAAGACTTGTTTCAAAGAAGATGTTCTTTTTTGAGCTGTCATATACCTTATTCTTTTTAAATAAATCAACTGAACTGGATCAACATAATTTTGACGTTGTAGACTTTCAAAATGAAGTTCGCATTCCTGGAAGATAACTTTCAGTTGAAGAGGGCTAAAGGGGTATGTAGGTTTAACTCTATAACCATAACCTGACAAAGGCAGGGGCAGTTGCCCCGAGCCCCACATCAGAAGGGACCCCCAAATTGAAATGAAAGTTTATTTTTGGTTTCCTTTTATTAGCATTTTTTAAACAAAATATCAGTACAGAGTAAAATCTGTCACTTTTATGTTAGCTTCTTCTAGTATGAACGCAAAGTTTTTTCGTAAATTCATGTTTTTCTAGTGCGGAATAGAGTATTCAGCTAAATTTTCAGAATTACGATGGACAAATTTGGCCAATCGAAAGCCTGTATTTTTACATATCGCAAAATGCAATAGGTTTACAAAAATACAGGCTTCTGATAGGCTTAATTGAGCTATCGCATTTGCGAAAATTTACCCGAGTTCCGCCATAATGTCAACAAGGATTTGAATTTTTCGCATCTAGATGACAAAGTTAACAATCAGAAAACAGTAGTCGGCATGATGGATATAGAATTGTCAGAAAATCAATAAAATGGACAATGAACAGAACGATATTTCGTCTGACCATTGGAGAGGGAGACTTTATACCTATTTTAGGTTCCAGCCAATTTTCTTGTTATCTATGTATAATGAGGTGAAAAATTTAAATACCTACATAAAGTTCAATCAAATCTTCACTAGTGACGTAGACGGTGGCCTCCAAAGAAGTTGTTGCCCTGGGTCCCAATTAGGCTAAGTCGGGCCCTATGTATAACAAATACATGTATGTATGACTACTATTAGAAAACTGTTAAGAAAGGTCGTAAATTAAATATGGTCATCAAATGTAGTGGAAATTATTTATTCTTCCAAATTTAGAAAAATTGTCGATAAGTTAAAAAGTATTCTAAACTTGAAAAAAAAAAAAAACGAATTCGGACGTCGTTCGGATAATCGGCGCTCTACTGTACTTGCATTACATATACTACTATAATTATGATTTTATATAGCTTAAATTATTTAAGCTATTGAATGTTTTTTTCTAGATCATGGCAAGCTTATTACTTTATGATCAATATTACAATTATTTGTAAATAACTATCAGTTCTTAATTATTATATATCTAAATATTGATTTTTATTCTACTACTGATCTCTACTAATAAATTTTTTGTTTGATTCTCAATATTTGTTGTTATTTGTATGCAAGGGAGCAAAATATGTCCTATCACACAAACGAGGTTTTGTGGAAAATTTAGTCAGCATTGGTCTAAACACGTTTCTTAAAAAAAAAAAAATATTGTTAAAAGTGTTGCTTTGTGTAATTTTTCGTAATTTTTTTGAAAAATGTTCTATGTTAATTTTGATATTTATTAGTTATAATTTCTTGAGTTTTTGAGTGGGATCTTAAATTTAAATTAAATATTTATTACTATTTTAATATATTTTGATTTATATTATTTATAATACATATGCTTATTTATTCAAAAATTGTCTAAAATGTAATAATTTTTTTTTCTTTGTTTTTGTTATAAGAACTTTTTAAACAATACATAAACTTCACGTTACAACACAAATTGCGAAAAAACTATTATACTAAACTCATAAGAAAAATGGGTAAATATTTTTAATTTTTTAAAACTTGAAAAAAATTCTTTCTGTGGAAATATTAGGCTAAGAATTTTCTGCATCTATGGACATAAATATTGTCAATAAATCATAGCTATAATAAATTCCATGATAAGTAAGCTATGATAATTTACAAAAAAAATATACCTAAATGTTTGTTTAATTGAGTTAACAATATTTTCAACCAATCAATTTAATTAAATTACTTTCAATATTTACTATGGTTATTAGTAGATCTAAAAATGACCAATTGCCACATGGCCAGTCAACAAAAAAAATGGTGACTTTAATTAACAAAATAGCTGATAACTTTTTTTTCTTGAATTTTTTATCCATTAAAGTACATGAATCAGAACTTTGAAAAGCTGAAATTTATAATGTCTCATGTCTCCCTTCAAAATATTGAACATCAATGTATGGTGGAAAGATTCATGTGGCAAGAGAGTTCTCAGCATATGTATCGGTCAAGAAAACTTTCTGCATTTGTACCAGTGGTTTTCTATTAGAATTTCTATTATTTCGATAGGTTATGATGTACTAAATATTTGATATAAAAATTTGTTGATTTTAAATTTAACTTATATTTTAAAAGAGAGCTTTTCTAAAAAATTTCTGTTCATTTTTTACGTCGGACACCGTGGAATTTATCTAATATTTTTTTATATTAGCACAATTCGGTATTATGTTTGTACCATTCAGTTCAGTATTTAAAAATTTGTTATTCAGTATTAATATTTTTTCTCAAGAAAATTCCAGAATCAATAATTTTAAATCTTTTGTTTGTTTCTTTTTTTGCAGGTTGCACCACTGATTCAATTAAAAGAAAAGGAAGAGTTTTTGTTTAATATAAATTAATAATTAAATAAATTATTTTATTGCTATTATTCATAGTTAATCGAGTTTTAATTTTTATTTAGCATGATTTTTTTTAGCTTAAAACATAAGAAAAATGTTATTATTAACAAAAATTAATTTTAGAATTTTTTGCAAATATTATTTGATACATTTTTAATAAAAATTTACTTAGATCAGTTTCAGAAATAGAAATATTGCCACATAAACTTTTATTTGCTATATAGTACTAGTTTACAAAGAGGAATTTCCTTTTTTTTTTTTTAATCTCTAGAATTTTTTTCCTGTAATAATGAGCGCATTAATTTAAAGGAAATGCAATCTGATTTATTTTTCTTGGAAACATCTTGTTACTTCTGCAGTTTTCAATGACTAAAGTTAAAACAACAGAATTTAATATTACCTTATCAAAGCTCAATAATGAAGCATTGTATACGATATGAAAAATGAACAGAGCATTTTATTTTTTTCGCGGAATTCCGCGAATCCAACATTGATTTTCATATTTGACGGATGTAAGAGTTTCTCATTGTTAATCTAATCACACGATTTAAAACTCTTACATCTTGAATCGTGTTCATGTGGTTTAAAATTTCAGTGTAGCATTATGTATTTACGCGTTTCTCAAATCAATTGCGTGATTTGTATTAACGTGAATTAAAAATCCTTTGTTCTTGTTTACTGGTTCTCTGTAAAAGTTTTTTCTTAAATTAGTTACCCTAAAAGTGTGACATTCTTTATTAGTAGGTAATTTAATTATAAATCTTAGTTGAAAAAATTATATTAAATAGGAATATTATACATCTTTTTATCGTGTTTTTACACATAAAATTTTCAAGGTTTTTCACTTTGTGTCACAATCATCCCTACCTTCCAAATAAATCTTTATTTATCAATAATTTGAGGTGCCTTTTTTTTAAAAAAAAAAACTGCTCTCTGACCTCAAAAAATGAAATNTGCGCCAAAGTGACGTCACTAGAGTGACGTCGGAGGATCGGCGCGGCAAGAGATACTTCAAAGGAGTGAACCAGCCCTTCTATTCTCTTTAGCCCTGGTTAAACCACTGTTTCAATTAAAGGAAAAGTAAGAGTTTTTGTTTAATATAAAATAATAATTAAATAAATTATTTTATAGATATTATTTATAGTTAATCGAGTTTTAATTTTTATTTAGCATGATCTTTTTTAGCTTAAAACATAAGAAAAACGTTATTATTAACAAAAATTTATTTTAGAATTTTTTTAAAAGTTCATTTGATACA